ATCAGTAAAATATATTATGTTCTGGTAGATAATTTATTAAGGGACACTAAAAGATGGTCCACATCTCATGCAATAGATTCCATCCATGTAACCAGATTGTGGCCTCAGTAGGTAAATACATTATTTATATAAATGATAAAAGAAATGCCATTATCATTCGTTTTACATTTTCAATGCTTTACTCACCTAGCTAAGCCTAGCATATGGTTCAAAGCAAGCAATTGTTGTTTAAGACACTTGTTTCACATTAATATATTTTATATTTAGTTTTTGCAGCATATGGTTCTGTGTCTTACCTTTGAACAATCCCTTTGCCTCAACTCTAATTTTAAATGATAAGTTCTAAAACTTTCGATCAATCTCTTGTTCAGATTGCTGGAAAAATTAACAGGTGTATCAGGGAGTACGGGCTCCGTGACATTGGGCAACTGGAGCAGGATTTGGTTTTTGGAGATGCGGGAGCAAAGGAAGTGATCAGTATCCTCAGGTCAAAGCAGGTTTGTACAGAAAGAGAAACAAAAAACAGGCTTGCTGCTAAGTTGCTGTCATTTTGATTTTGTTTTTTGCTTGACATGCTTGTTCCATTATTAAGGATATGAGTCCAGAAAACAAAATGAGGTTGCTGATTATATATGCAATCGTATATCCAGAGAAGTTTGAAGGTGACAAAGGGGAAAAGTTGATGCAGGTATTTCACATCAAATTTTTCATTGCTTATATGCAGTACAATGATGGCATCAAATAATGCAGGCCTAGTTCCAGATACAAAAATATACAATCACAGAGGAAGTAAAACTCTTCTTACACTAATTATGAGCATGGGCATATAAAGTGGAGTCAGAGACTAAATATCTAGAAGGTGGCTTATATTTTTCTAGTTGATGGCTCTTACAAAACTCCCCTACGCCTCTCCTAGATTAGTAAATCTGTCTTCTAGATTAACCTCCACAATCTAGATTGACGTAAACCTATGTTGGACCATACTAGGGCCCTTATAGAGACTATTAACTTGACTTTGCAATAATGGAAGGTGCACATGAGCGAAGCTTATTCTATCATTTAGATCTTTATTGAAAATTTATAGAAGTATTATATCTAATTTTGCCAAAGAATGGCTAGTCCAGTTGGTTAACTGAGATATGCTAGTTACTCCGACGGCACCCTCCAAGTCCTGAGTTCGACTCCCAGTGGGAGCGAATTACAGGCTGAGGGTTAAAAAAAATCCCCTCGCCGGTCCCGGGTGCCAAAGCACTGGTTTAAAGGAGACGGCTCATCTCACGGGTTACGTCTCCCAGTGTCGGGCCGGGGCCGGGGTTCGGAGGTTTTCTCAGCCTGTGTGAGAAGACCTTCTTCTTACGTGCAACGCCCGGGGGGCGGCTTGCCCCCCGCAGGTCGAGTTTTTTTTATTATATCTAATTTTCTGTTGAAAAATTTCATGTTATGTTATGTCATAGCTAAATGATACAGCGCCAACTTATTGATACGCAGCTAGCGAAGCTTCCACATGATGATATGGATGTAATAAACTGTTTAAGATACTTGGATGGTTCAAATACAAAAAAGTCATCAAGGACTGGTACTTTCTCTCTCAAATTTGATGCCCAAAAGGTAAGCTTATGTTTTTTCTGTACAAAGGTGAAGTCATGACTTTGTTTGAAAAACATACTTTATACAACCTTCCTGTCTATTAACATTTTTTTTGTTGCAGAAGAAAAATGCTGCCAGAACAGACAAACATGATGGTGAGGAAACATGGGCTTTATCACGTTTTTTCCCGCTTATTGAGGCACGTGATTACTAATCTTTCCTTGTCTACAATCCTTACCGATTTACATCAAGAATCGCTTACAATTGCTGAAACAAAATGAAGCTAATTTTTTAGTTTATGGCCAAGTATTTAGTCCTTGTTCTTGAGAATTTCTTTCAAGGACATGTGCTCTTCTTTACTTGTTGCTTGCATGGGTTTTCTTCTAAATTTTGGTTACATGCTGAGCTATCAGTTGTAATAGTTGGAGTTCCTTGCTTCACTAACAGGAGCTGATTGAGAAACTGAGCAAGGGCGAATTACCTTTAAAAGAGTACCCATCTATGAGTGAACCAAATTCTGCTCCTCAAGGTGCCACACAAACTGCATCATCAGCTGCACGACCAGCACAAAATCCACAACCAATGTCTATGAGATCAAGGCGGACACCAACATGGGCAAAATCTCGAAATTCCGATGATTCTCAATCAAGGTAGTAATTGGACATAATCTTCTATTGGACCCGCTCGAGCAATATGAAATCCATTTACATATATTGTTTTGGTCAAATAACCGCTTTATTATCATGGTAAATTGGATTGACAGTGATTCTTCAGTCCTGAGACACGCATCAGGTGACTTCAAGAGGCTAGGCAACCGGATTTTTGTCTTCATGGTTGGTGGAGCTACTAGATCTGAAGTACGTCTTGTGCTTATACTACATAAAAAAATACAAATTCCCAATCTGGTTGGCATATTATAAAATATTTATCATTTCATACCCCAATGAATCAGTTGCGCACGGTGCACAAGCTTACAATGAAAATGAAGCGTGAAATCGTCTTGGGCTCTTCTAGCATCGATGATCCTCCACAATTTATTTCGGTAAAAACTCAATTTCTCTTCAAGGTTCTACTATTTTCATTTTCATCAAATCTTTCCACTGGACTGCTGAAATTCAGCCTGCTATGTTCATGCAACGACTCTGCAACTGCAGAAGCTGAAGTCGATAGGTAGTGCTACTAAGGCCTAGAGCTTGTATGCCGAGCGATGGAATGAATTCACACCTTATAGTACTCAGTATAAGGTACATTCCCTTCTTATTGGCTCCCTGTCTTTCAGTTCTAAATTAATTGGCTCGAAGTATATGTAACAGGTTTGCTTTTGCAGCTTACAGTAGACATACTTCACCAATGAACAGTTCTACATTTTACCAGGATGGTGTTGTCGATTGTCACTAGCGACCGATTGTCTATCGAACTAATCACAGTTATTCTTCTTTATTTTTTGAATTGAGGAAGTGAGCTGGCATATCTGGATGTAAAATAAGAAATACAGAGTATGTGTACAACATTTTGTTTGTTTTTTATGTTCTTGTTGACAAACAGATTAATAACAAAGACATTAGGACGTTTTGCAAAAATGTTTAGTCTAAAATTGATGTTTATTATATGATATAGAAACCGTATTGCACAGATCTAAAACAAAATTATGGATAAGGTTGAGTATGGAGGGATACAAAATACTCTCATAGTCTCATGGCCGCATTGTTCACCCCATTGCCAGTTGCCACTCAGCTTCCTTTGCTTGCTCCCAACTATAACAGGTCACTCAGGGACTGGGAGTACCCTTTTGACTAAGGACCTTCACCATCACTGTAATCTCAGAGTACTGTCATGGATCTAAGACTTTATGAAGACGGTCCCAAGAACCGAGGGTACGTACAAAGTCCATAAAAACATAGGAAGCACAAATTCCATAAAAACATAGAAAAAAACTGAAGATCAATGAACTGAAACATGAAAACGCCTGTTTGCATTCATATAGCTATTAGTTAGCAACTAATAATTAGCTCTTTAGGATCAAACGGGTCCAGTTAATAGTCAAGCTAATTTCTAGCTAATACACAACTAACAACTATCTTACTAGTTGGACCAAACCAGCTAATAGTTAACTAGCTAATATTAGCTATGAGCTATTAATTAGCTTGCTAACTATTAATAGCTAATGGATAAAAAGACCCTAAATATATACATAATTAACTCTTACTCATCTCCTGAGTACTTCAAAAGAGTATATATTACAAGTGCATTGACCACGATTTGTATCAGGTATCAATATTAGGTATACCCAAAGTATGAAAGTTAGCGCTCACGCTGACTTTTCTAGATGGGTCGAGACGTATTAAAAGGTCTCGTCCGACCTCGAGGCTACGGGCTCTGTCTCGCACGACCCCTTGGGTGCGGGCTCCGTCTCGCTCGACCCCAAGGACGTGGGTTTCATCTCACCCAAGGCCGTGGGCTCCGTCTCGCCCGACCTCGAGATCGTGGGCTCCGTCTTGCCCGACCCCTTGAGTGCGGGCTCCGTCTCGCCCGACCCTAAGGACGTGGTTTTCGTCTCGCCCAAGGTCGCGGGCTCCGTCTCGCCCGACCTCGAGGACACGGGTTCCGTCTCATCCGACGGGGACCCATACCGCCGCCAAGCACTCCAGGTCAGCGTATGGACCTGGGTCAAAACTCTGACGCCAGGGAAGAGGCTGACACGCCTCGATGTAACCCGTTGCCATGACGTGCCATACCTGGGGATTCACATCAAGAACAGTATCGAACGTGCTGGTGTTGTTCTGCCTAATCCTTGTATGGATGCTGACAGACGCGTCAGTTCACCACGACGTCCGCGGGGACGGAGTGAAACACCGTGACCGGTAGATGACGCATGCGCATGACGCCAGTGACGAACAAGACACAACATGAAGCCATCCCTGTTGACATCTACAGGATCGACGAGATCCGCACGATGGACTCGGCAACCCTAGAAGCCTTCTCTCTCTCGTTCTTCTCATTTTTCTCCTCTGTAACACACGCTTTCCCTTCGTCTATAAAAGAGGAAGCAGGGCGCCCCATGAAAGGGGGGATCTGAACACAATAGCACGACACGAGCACATGACTGAGCGACAAACGAGCTCTCAACACCCGTTCACTCCTTCCACCAGAGACTAAGGATCCTATCTTTCTCACCTGTTTGAAACCCCACTACAAATTAAATGCCGGTAACACAAGCAGTAGCGAACTGGACGTAGGGACGTTCCGCCCGAACCAGTATAAACCCTCGTGTTCTCTGAGCACACCATCTGAGCCAGACGCGTAAATACAAATTTACTCGTCGGTGGTCCGAAAACACCGACAATTAGGTAATACAGACCTAGTTTCCAAAAGTTCTGCCTGCCGGCCTTGCCTGCAACTGCACCATGAGGTCGTCAACCTCTTGTTACAAGCGCTAACTGCATCCCGATGCAGCAGTGCCCCCCATCAGCTGCTGCTGCTACTGCTTCATCTGTCAGCTCAGTCGGGAAGTTACCCAGTCGCTCGGTGACAACCTCAACACTGTCCGGGGTCGAATTGTCAATCGAGAACTTGTTGCAGGGAGCATTGAAGGCATCACACAAGTCTGTAATCACACAAATAGCTCGTGCTACATCGATCAAGATGATAAATAAAGCGATATACAAGTGCGGAGAATAAGTCATGGGCTTACCAGCAGCTTTCTTCTTGGCATCCTGGAACCTCCGGCTGAGGGAATCGCGATCCGCGCGCACAATGTCAAGCTCCTTAGACAGATCACTGGCCTTCTTCTCAAAAGCTACAAGAATTCAAACCAGATTACAACCCATAATATATCTGAATTAAAAACAATTCCGGAGATCAGAAGAAATTTAATTTACCTCGAGCGACCTCGTTCTCCTGCTTCAATTTAACCTCCAGCTCCTTGTTCTCCTGCTTCAATTTAACCTCCAGATTCTTGTTCTCCTGCTTCAATTTAAACTCCAGCTCCTTGTTCTCCTGCTTCAATTTAACTTCCAGCTCCTTGTTCTCCTGCTTTAATTTAACTATCAGCTCGGAGGCACGTTTGAACTTGAGAGTGATTTCAGTGAGTCTAGTCTCGAAGAATGTCGCGGCCTCCTTGACCTTCTCCCAATCGACCTCGACACACTCTCATCTCATCATCGATCTCCCATAACAGGTTGCTCTCCATGTCCTTCATCTGGACATAGAGCATCCCTGGCTCCTCCTCCTGGGCCTTGTTCCCATGTACCTCTCCCTCCACTTCAACGGAGTCAGTAGCGAACCCAACGGACTGCTGACTGGACCCCTGGTTGTCACATGGGAGAGGCCGGCAAGGCACATGCGTCATCTTGATTGACTCGGGAACAGTCAAGGCGGACAGTGTTGTAGTAGGAGGAGATTGACATGCTGGCGGTGACTGGAGTGAACGTGGCTCCGATAGAGGTGTCGGAGACGGAGAGGCTGCCTGTGGAGGCAACAGGGGCACGGACTCGTTGTCTGGCATCTCCTCACGGTGTGGGGCAGTGAGATCTGCTGCCTCCCTGCTGGTAGAGGTGCTTACTTCCATGGTTGGCGAGGCACTGGAGTGCAGCAACAGACAGGGTAACATAACATCCTTGGACAACTTCTCCCTGCAGCACAAAAGGATTTAAGCGTTCAAACAGCAAGGCGTAAACTAAGGACAATGGAAGATGACTCGGCACTTACTCCCTCTTAAAAATCGCCACCCTACCAAGATATGACAGATCTTGCAGCCCCAGGTCTGGGGTGGAGCAGGCGAGGGCCTCATCGGACTTTCTCTTCTTCCAATGGGACATGGTCTCCGTGTCCCCATCGTCAGGCGGCGGCTGGGCAATTGGCGCACTGTTGCCAGACTCTCTCTGTTGTGCCAGCTCACTGCAGGAGCGGGCCACAACTTCATTGCCCTTCTGTTGGACCAACTCCCCAGAGGAGCCGGCACCAAGGGTCCTCGGTTTCTTCAGAGGGGGCTGGCTGACTATGGTGACGCTGACCGTCGCCTGTGGCATGTCTACTCCCTCTTCGTCTTCCTCCAGAGTCGTGGAAAGGTACTTGCTCAGGTACTGTAACAAGAGCATCAATCAATTACCATTAATGATTCAACAGCTTATAAGAAAAACTCAAGAGAAAAGGAACACTTACATTTTCCGGCGGTCGTTTGTGATGACACGGAAGTGGCTTGCCATTAGTGCAAATGTTAGTATCAGTTGACAAGAGCTGGGCCACCCGGGAAAGAATATCATCTCCAGTCAACTTTATCGACCTCTCTCGTGTCGGGTCAGAAATACCTGTGAACTCAGACATCCGATGGCACCTCTTCTTGATCGGTTGGATCCGACGACACACGAAGGTAACGACCAACTGGGCTCCGTCGAGCCCATTTCGGATCAAGCCATTGAAGTGTGGGATGATCTTCCCCACCTCGGCCATCTCGTCTGCAGTGGGGGGATTACTCCACGACGGCAGCTTAACAGGGCAATGGCTAGCAACGAAGTCAGGCAGTGACGGCTTCTCGTTGCGGCAGTAAAACCACCTCGACTGCCATCCTTTGTTGGATGTCCGCAGCGGAATGGAGACGTATTGCGTCTTCGGACGAAGCTGGATGCAGGCTCCTCCAATCGCGCAAGCACAGGTGTTGTTGCCGTTGTTGGGATCTCGCTTGCTTACTGGCCTCACACAATATAGCCATTTCCACGACCCGAAGTGCGGCTCGATTCCCAGGTACGCCTCGCAGAGAGTGATGAAGATTGAGATGTGGAGTATACCGTTAGGGTTCAAGTGGTGAAGCTGCAGGCCGTAGTAACCGAGGAGACGGCGGAAGAACCGGTGCGTCGGCACCGAGAACCCACGCTCGAAGAAGTCCGCGAAGACCACGGTCTCACCGGTGCGCGGCTTCGGGACCGCTTCGCCGAACGACGGCCGCCATCCAATCAATGGCTTCTCCGGCATGTACCCAAGCTCCACCAGTGTGCGGCATCCGACCTCCGAGACACAGGATTCTGCCCATTCCGACATCGGAGCTCGGAAGTAAATGATCCTCAGTTGGAACTTGGTCGATAGGCTCCTCCTTCACATCACGGCAGACTGCATCCACCGCCTAGATCTAGACGGAGACGGAGAGAAGCTGGAATCTAGAATGGGGATGACGGGCTCAAGGATGGGAGAGATCGAGCAATGTGGCTCACGGAGTGGAGCTCGAAGAGTCGAAGTGGGCTCGGAGCGCGGAGATGGCAGAGGCGGAGCGCTCCGAGGCGAAGGCAGCGCGAGGAAGAAGACGGAAGTGTTGGGCCGTTGGGGGAAACCGGGAAAGTGAATTTTGTCGTCTTCCGGACGGCACATACATTGTTGGCGAGGAAGCATGTGGACCGGAGCTGCGGCTGTGGACCACGCGAGGAGCCTTCAAAAAATTTGACCTCCACGAACAAAAATAGCAGGGGTTCTTGCGTTTTATCTTTTTTTTTTTTTACTTTATGAATTTACCCCTATAGTTTCTAAACCAAGAGCAAGTTTCCCCCTACTCCATCATTGTCCCTTAACGATGTTAAAATTTTATACCAAAGACAGAAATGTCCATGTGTTTTTGCCCCTGTTTGTTATGCATATTTATGATTTTACTCCTAATTTGAAATTATATTTTTTTTATTGTATGCTGACACAAATGAATAAATTTGGTCAAATATATTTGGCATAACTTGCAATGATTTTAACTCAGATTTAATATTAAAAATTTTGGTAGCACCTTTCCAATATTTTGCTAGTATCATGACAACAATATGAAGCACATATATAACACATGAGAAAAATCATGAAGAACCAACATTTCAAAGTGTCCACAACCTTATGAAAAGCTACTAGTCTACACCATGTCACCATATCCATAAAAGCGACCAGTCTGCGTCAACATGTCCACAAAAACAATAAGTCTGCACCATGTAAACATGTGCACAAAAGCTATAAGCATCTCATTCAAAGACCACCTAGAGACCTAACAAACTAGCCAGCCTTCGTCCTGTTCGCTCTCCTCTTCCACTCCCTTTGAAAAGCATTGATCGGGTTGGTTAGTAATGATTACGTCAACAAATAAATACACCTGCAAACATAACTTACATTGGCTCATTGCTACCCCTCTCATGATTCTCTTCCTCTTCCTCTTCTCCTTCCCCCTTCTCCTTCCTCTACCGGTAGCACTTGCACTAAAAATAGAAGAAACATGATTTCAATATTAGCTATGACCAGAGCATGCAATAAGTAGAAGTGGACACCAATAGAACCATGACTTACGATGTGTCATTGTTGTCCTCTCCTTAGTGTCTTCCTCTTCCCCTTCCCCCTCACAGTAGCACTTGCAATAAAGGCCCTGTTCGCTAGGAGAAATTTGAAGGAACCTGGAGCAATTTGTGAGAGAGTGAACAGTGTTTTTCACCCACGCACAGTGAAATCCGGCTGGTTTTTCAACCAGCCGAACGAGCCCAAAAAGAGAAGAAACATGATCTCTAAATTTGCAATGGCTATAGATCTAGAAATAAATAGAAGTACACCATGACTTACTTTGGGTCATTGTTGTCCTCTTGTGATCCATGTTGTGAAGAATTGAGCCTTCTCTTTTGACTAGCAGCGGGACCTCCTTTGGCCTTTATTTTTTAGATTTGGAATTTTTTTTAATTCGTTTAATCCATGTCCACCTGACCGACGTCAGAAGCAGGGCAAACGGACATTTCATTTCAAAATAACAGGGGTAAAACACACAAAGTTGAAAAAGTAGGGACAAAATCACAATTGTCTTACTGGACAAGGGTAAGAACACAGTTACCCCAAAATAGTAAGTACTCTCTCCGCGTCAAAACTAAATACACATCCTATAAAGATTAATCAATTGATCAAATATATAATAAATATTAATTAATATCTATTATATTAAAGACGGAGTAGGCATCATTAGATTAATCACATTATATATTTTTATAGGAAACTTATTTATAGATACAAATTGTCGGTGTTTCGAACAATCACCGGCTAGTAAATTTATAATTATACGCGTTAGGGCCGGATGGTGCGCTAAAGGACACAAGGTTTATACTGGTTCGGGCTGAATGTCCCTACGTCCAGTCTGTTGCTGCTCGTGTTATTAGCACTGAAAGCGGTTCGTAGTAGGGGGTACAAACGGTCGAGAGAGGGACTGGTCCCAAGCCCCTCATAGAAGGGTCGAAAGGAGGCCAAGAGCCTAGTGACGGCTTGACTGTGTATGTGAGTTGAATTGAACTCTCTATGAGTTCGTCTATATGTGAGTTGTCCGTTGAAAGTCGGTCCCTCTAGTGGGGAGCCTTGCCCTCCCTTTTATAGACCAAGGGGGGAGCAGGGGTTACAGATGGGAGAAAGAGAAAAATACTTAGGGTATAGAAGGTCCTTCGAAGGATTCGGGTCTTCCTTTTTTCCTGCGCCTGCCCTGTATAACATGGCAGACAGTGTCAGAAAGTGGCGTGTTCGCTGATCTTCGTAGGCCATGCCCTGGCCCTTTTTAGCAAGTGGGTGTGTCCCATCCCACCTTTGCGGGCGGTGTGTCGGGCGGGGGTGTCAATCTACGTCCCTGTGGGGAGCGGAAGGCGCGGTGACTGCTCATTTGCCACTGTAGGGGATGAGAGTCCCCCCTTGGAACGTAGTGGTTGTCGTATGTCTGTGTCGGACTCCTCGCCTAGGGACTGAAGGCGGTGCCTACAACACTGTAGGGCGAAGAGCACGCGCCTGCAACACTATTCAGGCTCTGCTACGCCTGGAAGGGTCTAAGAGCCTGTCCCGTCATGTCCTGGCAGTGCTCTCCTGTAGGGGCACAGGGCATGGTCCTTGATGTTGCGGTTGACCCGAACGTCTTGTCCTACCCTGTGCCTAGCATCATGAGGGAGCGAGGTACAGTTGTCAGGCGAGGCGGAGCCAATCCTTGGACATCGGGCGAGACGGAACCTAGCCTTCGGAGGTCGGGCGAGGCGGAGCCCATCCCTCGGGGGTCAGGCGAGGCGGAGCTGTTCCCCAGCCGTCGGGGGAGGCGGAGCTGGCCGACGGGCATCGGGCGAGGCGGAGTCTAGCTCTCAGCCCTTGGGCGAGGCGGGGCCATCCTCCAGCCGCCGGGGCTCAGCCCTCGGGCGAGGCGGAGCCGTCCCCCAGCTATCGAGGGAGGCGGAGCTGGCTGACGGGCATTGGGCGAGGCGGAACCAAAACTCCCGTCGTTCGAGCAAGAAGCGCAGCGGTGCTCTTGCCCGTTCGGGAGTTTTTAACGTTCGATGGTTATTTGTTCCATCTCCTTGGGTACCCCGGTATTAGGTTCCCGATAGTAGCCCCCGAGCCCCCGGGTGGTTTGGGTAGAATCGCCCGGGGGGGTGTTTTAATTTCTTTGGAGTTAGTTCGCCAGAGGGTGCGCGCGAGCGCACCCGATGGTTGTAGCCCCCGAGCCCCCGGGTGATTTGAGTAGAATCGCCCAGGGGGTAGTATCGGAGTCAATTTGCCAGAGGGTGCGCGCAAGCGCACCCGATGGGTGTAGCCCCTGAGCCCCCAGGCGATTTGAGTAGAATCGTCCGGGGGTAGTATCGGGCCCTCCGCGGGTAAGGCCGTAAGACTCGGTGTTTCGTTGACTGGATTTTCTTTTTTCGTGGTATCCCGTTCGTGGGAATTTCATTCAGGGCTGGCCTGATTGGGGCTTGACAGCGGATCGAGGCCCTAGTCATTTTGCAGGCCCATCCCCCATTGGGACGACCCTTGGGCTCCGGGGTCCTAGGTGGTTTTGCGGGCCCATCCCTTGCTGGGGCGGCCATCGAGACGGTTCGGACCGAGCCCTGGTCGCTATGGGCCCAGACGGATCAGAGAAGAGATTTTTCTAGCCCACGTCCCCTCTGTGGGAAAAGAGTCCGGTCGCTTCGGGAAGGCAAACCGTCCAGTGCGATTTCGGTGGGATAGGATAGGGATCGCGGGTACATGTCCCGCGACGTGACGCGACGGTGCGCATGGCAGGCCCAGAGATCGAGGCGGGCAGTTTCCCTTCTCGCATCCGTCGCCCCTATAAAACCACGGGGTTCGCCCCTAGGGTTCCGTATTTCGCCCCCTTGCCTTCGCGTCTGAAACCTTCACCGCCAATCGCCCTAGCCTCCTACGCCCGCGCCGCCGCCGCCGTCAAACTCGCTGCTGCCTTCTTCTCCGTGCTGCTCCCGCCGTCGCAATGGACCAGGGGTACAAATCCAACATCTCCATTCGGCGCCTGGAGGGCCTCGTTCGCCGAGGCCTCCTTTGCCCGTTGACCGCCGTCGAGGAGTGGCGGCTGCCCGGTGAGGAGGAGGAGCTGCAGCCGCCTGAAGGGTACGTCGTGTCTTTTGCTCACTTCCATGAGTGGGGATTCGCCATGCTCGCCCATCCATTTTTCCAAGGACTGCTGGACTACTATCAGGTGG